TGAAAGAAATTAAAGGGATATGGATAGGAAAAGAAGAACTCAAATTAGTACTATTTGCCAATGAAATGATTCTATACATAGAAGACCCAAAAAATTCCACCAGAAAACTTCTAGAACTATTGAATAAATTCAGCAAGGTAGCAGAATATAAAATCAACACCCATAAATCAAAGGCATTTCTGTATATCAGTGACAAATCCTCTGAAAGAGAAACAAGGAAAACTACCCCATTTACAATAGAAAAATAAAATACTTGAGAATCAACCTAACAAAAGAGGTGAGAGACCTCTACAAAGAAAACTACAGAACACTAAAGAAAGAAATTAAAGAAGACCTTAGAAGATGGAAAGATCTCCCTTGTTCTTAGAGAGGCAGATTGTCAATATTGGCAAAATGACCATACCATCAAAAGCATTATACAGATTTAATGCAATTCCAATCAAAATCCCAATGACATTCCTCATAGAATTAGAAAAAGCATTCATGAAATTCATCTGGAAAAATAAGAGACTCAGAATAGCTAAAGAAATCCTTAGCAGAAGAGTGAAGCAGGTAGCATCACTATACCAGACCTTAAACTATACTACAGAGCAATAGTAACAAAAATGGCATGGTATTCGTACCAAAATAGACTTGTAGACCAATGGTACAGAATAGAGGACACAGAGACAAACCCACATAATTACAGTTATCTCATATTAGACAAAGGCACCAAAAACATATATCGGAGAAAACAAATGGTGCTTGGAAAACTGGAAATCCATGTCAACAAAATGAAATTAAATACCTATCCTTCACCATGCTCAAAACTCAACTCAGAGTGGATCAAGGACCCAGGAATTAAACCAGAGACCCTGCACCTAACAGAAGAAAAAGTAGACCCAAATCTCCATCATGTGGAATTAGGCCCCCAATTCCTTAATAAGACTCCTATAGCTCAAGAATTAAAATCAAGAATAAATAAATGGGATGGATTCAAACTAAAAAGCTTCTTCTCAGCAAAAGAAACAGTCAGTGAGCTGAATAGAGAGCCTACATCTTCGGAGCAAATTTTTACCATGTGCACATCAGATACAGCACTAATCTCTAGGATATGTAAAGAACTCAAAAATCCTAACACCAAAAAAACAAATAATCCAATCAACAAATGGGCCAAGGACCTGAACAGACAATTCTGTGAAGATGATATACAATCAATCAACAAGTATATGAAAAAATGTTCAACATCTCTAACAATTAGAGAAATGCAAATCAAAACTACTCTAAGATTTCATCTCACTCCAGTCAGAATGGCAGCTATTAAGAATACAAAGAACAAGAAGTGTTGGTGAGGATGTGGGGAAAAGGCAAACTCATACATTGCTGGTGGGACTACAAATTGTTGCATTCAACATGGAAAGCAGTACGGAGATTCCTTGGAAAACTGAGAATGGAACCACCGTTTGACCTAGCTATCCCGCTCCTCAATTATACCCAAAGGACTTAAAAACAGCATACTACAGGGAAACAGCCACATCAATGTTTATAGCAGCACAATTCACAATAGCTAAACTGTGGATCCAACCTAGATACCTTTCAGTAGATGAATAGATAAAGAAAATGTGATATATATACACAATGGAATATTACTCAGCATTAAAAGAGAATAAAATTATGGCATTTGCAGGTAAATGAATGGCACTGGAGAATATAATGCCAAGTGGAATAAGCCAATCCCCCCAAAAAAATGCCAAAAGTTTTCTCTGATACAAGGATGCTGATTCATAATGGGGATAGAGTGATCAGCATGGGAGGAATAGATGAACTTTAGATAGGGCAAAGGGAAGGGAGAGGAATAGAGGGGGCATGGGGGTAGGAAAAACTGTGGAATGAGTTGGACATCATTACCCTAAGTACATATATAAAAACATGAATGGTGTGACTCTACTTTGTGTTCAACCAGAGACATAAAAAATTGTGCTCTATTTGTGTAATATGAATTGAATTGTATTCTGCTGTCATATATAATAATAAGAATAAATAAAATTTAAAAATTTAAGAAAATATATAGGCTAGAAATTAATAGTCTGTCATGTAGCACTAGGAGGCAATACAGTGCTACTGTCATTTTCAAATATTTTGAGCAACTGGTCTACCCAAGGAAGATAAAATACATGCTCAGGTTCAAATGAGTGAAGGATCTAGAACCCACATTGCCAGCCGAGCATGGCGCTACACATCTATATAATCACAGCAGCTTGGGAGGCTGAGGCAGGAGGACCACAAGTTCAAGCCAGCCTCAGGAACTTAGCAAGGCCCTAAGCAAATCAGAGACTCTGTCTCTAAAGGACTGGGGATGTGGCTCATGTTTCCTCATTTCCTTTCACAAAGCCTAGGAGGTAGGAACAGTTCCCATTTTACAGATGTGGAAACTCAAGTTCAAAGATACTATATAACTTCCCAACATCATGAGAAGTAGAGAAGCATCGCTGACATCAGGAAGCTGGTGTGGGGCTTTCAGCCAGGCACTGGTACGGCAAGGAGCTGGCTTGGCATTCTCCTGCTGAACATGAGCGATGTCTCAGGGCATCAACATTAGGCAAAACCACTCTGTGATCATGAATCAAGACAAAAACAAGACCACCCCGTAATCACATCTGGCCACAGACCAAACATGAATATTGTCCAAAACACAAAAATGACCAAATACCACCTCCCACTCAGTCCTGGTTAATGAGCAACTGCTGCTTCTTGACCAACCCTAGCAGTTCCTCTTTATGAGCTTCTCTCCTTCTAGACAAGATTTAAGAAGATAATAATCATAGAATTTCCTATACATCCTGACAGCATCTGACCTAGAGCAAAGCCCCATTTCCTTAAACCCTTCCTCCCAAATCACCTGCTACATACCCAGGTCTTCCTTGCTGCAAGGTACAACAAACCCAACATGTCCAACTCCCGGTCTTCGGCTGGAGAGCCTTGGATGTATCCTAGAGAATGAGTGCTGGGCCACAGTCCCACCCAGGTCCGTGGGAGTTCAGAACCAGTGCCCTGGACTGCCTTGCTTTGCTGTCCTCTGTTCAATTCTTTCTTTTAAAATTTGGACTATATATGACTCACTTTGGAAAGTCAGAAAAAGAGTTTGAAAGAGTAAACTTCAGTTGTGATGGAACCAAAAATCACTGCAGTGGAACTCACACTATTTCCCCACTGTCTGGGGAAATGAGACATGGCTGAACTTGTGTGCTTGTCTCATTGTTAACAACTTCAACACATTTTGAATTATTTTTAGCTTTCTAAATAACAAAGTGAAATTGAGTCTGCTAAATTAAAACAGAGGTGTTAAATTGTTATAACTTCTGACGTCTACAGTCCAGTACCTGAGTGCATTTTTTAAATGAAAAGACAAATTAAAGATACTCTATCATCTCTTCTGAAAATAATAATCAGTATGTGAAACAAAGACATACTGGTCGCAAGACAGGCATAAGGTTAAACAAGGAGAAGGGGTGAGGCAGCAAAGGTTTTTGGGAAGTAGAATGGATAACAGAAGATGAGGCCTGATTAGGAATAGAGAGGAGGGCTGAGGGTGTAGCTAGGTGGAAGAATGCTTGCCTAGCATGCAGGAGATCCTTGGTTCCATTCCCAGCACCACAAAAAAAAATTAACCAAATAATTTTTTAAAAAATAGAGCAGGGTGCGGTGGGGACACCTGTAATCCCAGCAACTCTGGAGGCTGATGCAGGAGGATCGCAAATTCAAAGCCAGCCTCAGCAACTTAGCCAGGCCCTAAGCAACCCTGTCTCCAAGTAAAAAATAAAAAAGGGTTAGGGATGTGGCTCAGTGGTTAAGTGCCCCTGAGTTCAATTCATGGTACCAAATAAATAAATAAAAATAAAAAGAGAAATCAAAAGGAAATCCTCTGAGCACCTGGAGAGTTCAAAAAGAATGAAAAGAGTCAGGCATGGTGACACACACCTGTAATCCCAGTGGCTCATGACTGGGGAGGATTGCAGATTCAAGGCCAGCCTCAGAAATCTGGTGAGGCCCTAAACAATTTAGCAAGACCCTGTTTCAAAATTTAAAAATTTTTAAAAAGGACTGGGATGTGGCTCAGTATTTGAGTGCCCCTGAGTTCAAACTCTGGTGCCAAAAAAAAAAAAAAAAAATGCAGTTGTGAAAATGTAAAGCTTGTCACTGTTAGTGGTGATTCATGCCTGTAATCCCATTTATTCTGGAGGCAAATTCAAGGCCAGCCTGGGCAATTTAGCAAGACCCTGTGGAAGGAAGGAAGGAAGGGAGGGAGGGAGGAAGGGAGGAAGGGAGGAAGGAAGAAGGAAGGAAGAGAGGAAGGGAGGGAGGGAGGAAGGAAGAAAGGAAGGAAGGAAGGAAGGAAGGAAGGGAGGGAGGGAGGGAGGGAGGGAGGGAGGGAGGGGAGGGCAGGCGGGCTGAATGAGGAAAGGAAAGAAAGAAAGGCATCTTTAGGGACCCAAGGAGATTTCTTAATCTATCTAGTAGTCTGGGCTCAACTTCTCCGTTTTCCTTTTCTGTATGTATGAATGTATGCACACTATTATTGCAGTACAGGAGACTGAACTCAGGTGTGCTCTACCACTAACTTATATCCTCAGCTCTTTTCGTTTTTTGAGACTGGTTCTCACCTAGTTGTCCAGGTTGAACTCCAACTTGTGGGGGCCTCCTGCCTCAGCCTCCCAAGTAGCTGGGATTACCAGTTTGTGACTCACACATCGGGCTCCTGACAGTTTTCCTTTCTGACAGATTGTTGGTAGTGGATTTTGAAGATTATTAATTTTATTCTACATTTACTGGGCAGCATCTCACACCTCACAGCACTTTTTTCATTCCACTCTAACTCAGCCTCTAGCCTGTTGGTCTGTCTGACTGCCTCTTGAGGGCATGGACCTCAAGACATCCATCCCTCTCACTTGTCCCATTTGGACCCAGTGGTGGGACCAGTGTTGGTTCCGCCTACAGCAAATGTGTAAGAAGTGCACTCTGACCTTTCTCTCTTAGGTGCAGACGGGAAGTGATCCCCCCCAGAAAGGGTCCAGAGTCGTCCAGCTAAGGCCAAATGAAGCACCAAGGCAACTGTTCGGTGGTCACCTGGTCCTTCTGGGAACATCAAGGAGGGTAGGGGGTGGGATCTGGCCTCTACCCGAAGCGCAGGCCCATTAGAATCCGGGCCAAAGAGGTGGGGCCAGAGAAACTGAATCCCTTGTCTGCTCTGGGGCTTGGTCCCCACCCCTTCTCTCATGCACACACGCCCCCATGCTGGGGAAGCCTCGGCAGCACTCGGGGAAGACACCGGAAGACAAGGAATGAAGAGGGGTCAGGGTGGTGAAGGGATGCGGGGGGAAAGGAGGTGCCAGCTGCCCTAGCAACACCCACGAAGGCGCGGGCAAGAGGAAGAGGGGATGAGAAAGGGCTGCGAGTCGGGGGGAGGGCGATGTGATGGGATGGAGTCTGGGGCCGGGAATAGTGAGGATGGGGCGCGACAGGCCAGCCAGGGGGTTCATCTGCCTAGAGAGGGAGGGAGGGAGAAGAGGGGTGTCCGGGAGAGATCGCGCCTCGCGGCCTCGACTCGCGTCTGCAGCGGACACCCGGGTAGATTAAAAAAAAAAGGAGCCGCAACGGAGTCCTCAGCTCGCGCCCGCCGCACACTTACCGCGCGCCACCGCTCGGTCCCCCGCGCCGCCGCGCGCTCCCGCCCGCGCCCGCAGTCAGAGGAGCCCGGCGCGCGCCGGCCAGCAGCGACGTTCTAGGAGCCAAGAGGGAGGGCCCGCGGGGACCTTTGCTCGGTCCCCGCCCCTCGGAGTCGCGGGACCCGCAGGGAAGCCGCGGGAGGAGCGGAAGGAGCGTGCCCCGACACTGGCCGAGGGGCGCGGCCTGGCCCGCAGCGACGCAGAGAGGAGCAAGCCCGGCCACGGTTCTGGGCTCCGGGGACTGAGCAGGCCCAGCCAGAACTGGTTCCCTTCCTTCGCGTGGCACCCGAAGCCGGGTCTCCTGGGCCTCGACTTTGGCCCAGGCACTGGGAGAAAGAGAGCTCGGTGGCCTGCTGCCCAAGAGACCTCACCCCCGGGTTGCAATCCACAATAGGATGTGAATTACAACTGTGGCTTCACAGTTCCACCAGAAAAGTCCCGGGCCACCCTGGCCCGCGGGAACCCCTATTGTTTGTGCCTGGGAGCGTCGGGCTTTGTGATGTGACTGGGTTAGCAGTAAACTAGACTCCAAGTTCCTTGAGGGCAAAACCAAACCTCACTCACAGACTAGGTACTCGGTAAATCCTGAAGGAGGGAGTGCGAGCACAGCTGTAATAATTGTTTGCTGCTTAACTGAGTTGAAAAATTATAACCTTTGAGTCAGCGTTCATAAATCATGTTCTCTTGTGCATTAAACAAGAGAAAATAATATTTCTGCACTCAGAAAACTTTGAAAGACTTTGTGGCTGCCTTCAAGCAGGGAGAAAGTGGGAGGCAGGGCTATGTCTTGTGCCCCGTCTCTACATTGCTGTTACCCACCTGTGAAGCCTTCTCTGGCTATGGACATTGAAAAGTGCTCCTCTACACACACACACACACCAGCAGGAACACTTCTGATTCCTCTGCTGCTTTATGTTTCTGCTTTGCACTTATAACCATCAGCTAGGCTGAGTTTATAATTCTTATTTCATATATTATTCTTCTCTTCCCTAAAGTGTCAGCTCCATCAGGGATTTTTGTCTGCTTTGTTTACTATACCCAGTTCTAAACTTAGAATTTTATTTGCATAGTATATATTTAGTAAATAGTTGTTGAATTAAGGAATGAATCTTCTTGTTTCTCCAGCTACATTGTGAGATCCTATGCATCTATGCAATGGTAGGCATACAATTACTGCTTGTTGGATGAATGAATAAATAGAATAAATAGAAATAATTGTGGACCCTTGGGGTTCCCTCTCTTGCCAATGCAGTTAGGTATTGAAAGAAAGAGGAAGCACTATCCCAGACTTGTTAAGAGACTTCGTGGATGTTATCAGTTCTCTGTCTTAATAAAATCATGTAGTGATACTAAGGTTTGATTGTGTCCCTCAAAGTATACGTGTTGGAAGTTTAATACTCAGTGTACAGTGTTGAGAGGTAGGAACATTAAGAGGTGATTACATCATGAGGGCTGTGCCCTTGTGAATGGATTGATGTCATTATCAAAGTAAATTAGTTATCATGGGAATCAGGTTTTTTGTTTCTTTGGGGGTTTTTGTTTGTTTGTTTGTTTGTTGTTGTTGTTGTTGTTGGTACTGGGACTTGAACCCAAGGGCACTTTACCGCTTAGCTACATCCCCAATCCTTTTATATTTTTTATTTTGAGACCAGTCTCACTAAATTGCTGAGATAATCCTCCTGCCTTAGCCTCCCAAATCACTGAGATTACAGGTATGGTCTCCTCCTCTTCCTGCCCCTGTTCTCTTCTGTTTTCACTTTTCTTCCTCCTCCTGTCTCCCTGCCTTCCTCCCCACTTCCCTTTCGTCCCACCTTCAATCTTCCTGACATGAGATGATGATGCAGCAAGAAGACCCTACTCAGCCCTATTTGACCTTGGACTTCTCAGCCTCCAGAACTGTAAGAAATAAATCTCAGCTCTTTATAAATTGCTGGGTCTCAGGAATTCTGTTCTAGCAGCACACAATAAAAAGACAAGTGATGACTAGCTTGTTCTCAGAGCTTATTGCCTCCTGACCTAGGGCATTAACCTTAAGAACATCCTCATGAACAGCATGTTCATGCAGTTTCCACCACTTCATGGTTGCCATCTTGCTAGTTCTCCATCTAGCTAGGTTGCCATTTGTAATTGGGGCTGCTTGAGCTTTTTGATGCAATGATTACTTAGTGACTTAAAATTCATTCACTCTTTTTGTCCTATCCAATGCCTTTAAATTAAATACCTGGGGAAGACAGTAATAGTATTAGCAGCTAAAATGCATGTGGCACTTTCTCTGCATGCAATAATTGACTCATTTAATCCTCACAGCCAATTAGAAGTTCAAGTTAACTGAGAGAATTGAAGCACAAACTTGGAAATTACCTAGGAGAGACAGCTATGACTTTAACCCAGCTCTCTTGGCACCACCTGTTTTTAACCCACCATAGGATACAAACTACCCCCCCCAAAAAAAATAGGAAACACAGTAGAGGACATCACACTCAGCAGTGTTTGAACCTGCCCTGAGCTTTGGGAGGGAAAGACGGATTATGCTCAAGGAACACTCCCTCCACCCTATTCTCCTACTCTCCCTGTCTAAGGTGGAGGAATATGGCAAACCATAATTTTTTAACATTATTATTATTATTATTAAAGATTTCAGATGGCCCAATAAGATGGGAGGTTTGGGCTCAACTAGAAAAAAGAAAAAAGTAAGTCAAACCAAACATCAAACCCCAGTCTTCTCACTCCATCATAGGTATATTGTCTTAGCAAAATGAAAGTGGAAACAATTTCCAAGGAGATAAATTGGGGTGGTCATATTTGCTTTTCAAAAGATTCATTAAATATAAACGATGTTTCAAGTTGCAGAACTTGTGAAACATGCAATGGTGGTGCATGCCTATAATCCCACAACTCAAGAGGCTGAGGCAGGAAGCATGCAAGTTCAAGGCCAATCTCCACAATTTAGTGAGATCCTGTGTCAAAATAAAAAATAAAAATAAGAATGGCTAGAGACATAGGTCAGTGGTAGAATGCCTCTGTGTTCAATCCCTAGTACTGAAGAAGTTTGGGGAAGAATTTCTGAAACATATCAGTGATGTGTTGGGTATTCCTTACTCAATCCTGGATTCTTTTTTTTAATACTGGGAATTAAACCCAGGGGCACTTAAACACTGAACCATATCCCCAGACCTTTTTATTTTTTATTTTAAGACAGAGTCTTGCTAAGTTGCTTAGGACCTCGCTAAGTTGCTGTGGCTGGCTTTGATTCTCCTGCCTCAGCCTCCCAAACTGCTGGGGTTACAGGAATATGCCACTATACCCAGCTATCCCCAGGTTTTTACATAGGAAATGATATGTAAATGGCAGCAAAAATTGGTAAAATTCACTTAACAGGGTATATTTCATAAATGAACACATAAATAAACCACCTCTGCCTGGCTGTCATAACTACTTCCTAATTCTATGGAAGCTACTCTTGGAGACCTGGACTCTTTCCAATGAATAGCCTCTATGGACAGATAAATCATAGGCTTTGAATGAGTCGGATTTGGGTCAAATCCAGCCAGCACTTACTAACTGAATGACCTTAGGAAAACTTCATGACTTCCCACTTAAAAATTACTTAGAGTATTGTCATGAGATTATGTAATTACTGAGCACATAGTAGAACTCAATAAAAGTTTTCTTTCCTCAATTAATTACTTTATAGTTAAAATTGCCTTTAAGTTAAGGCAAAAAAATGTTCACCTTTGCGTAAATGTGCCTCTTACCATATTAACTGTTTCCCAGAGGAACATAACTACTAACATAAATTATAATAAAATTTGGCATACATTGATATATATTTTTAAACTGATCTCATTTACTCCCCCTAAATCTCAAAAGTACTTTCTAAACTGGAGATTGTATTGCCAATGCATATTACTTACCAATTACAGTTTTAAAATAAAAAGTTTAGCTAGGCATGGTGGCACATACCCATAATCCCAGCTACTTGGGTGTCTCAGGCAGAAGGATCATAAGATCATTGCCAGCCTGGGCAATTTAGGGAGACTCTGTCTCAAATTTTTTAAAAATGAAAGGGGCTAGGGGCTTCCTAGCATGCGTGAGGTCCTAGGATTAATCCACAGTACCATGGATGCAAGAAATAAAATTTAAAAGTTTATGAAGGATTAAATATAGTCCAGAATTAAGTCTTCTTCAGTTTCCCAACTGTCTCTTGTTCAACTGCAACATACAGATACTGACTTGAGAAAAACTGAAATTCACTTGGCAATCAACAAATGATCAGCCAAAATTGTCAATATTAAAATTCTCAACTCAAATATTACTGAGTAAATAAGGAATGATGAAGTAATTTGCTTTGCCAGTTATCAACTGCTGCATAACAAACTACCACCAAAACTTAGTAACTTGAAACAACACCATTTTATTGTTATATCTCCTAATTTTACACATTGGAACTTCACACAGGCTTAGTTGAGCAATTTTTTTTTTTTTTTTCAGTCTCATGTGGCATCAGCTGGGGTCACTCAGAGCAATTTAGCTGAAGGAAGGCAAATAGCCTGGTCCAAAGGGTCTAGATGGCTTCATCAATGTCTTCAGCCATTCAGGCTGTCATAATAGGCCAGGTAGCTTACAAACAGAAATTCGCATCTCACAGTTCTGCAGGCTGGAAGTCCTAAGATCAAGATCCTGGCAGATTCAGTATTTCCTGGTTAATAGATGGGGATTTCTTGCTGAGTCCTCACATGATGAAAGATGCCATCTTCATGATTTAATCAGCTCTCCAAAGGACAATTTCCTACAGCCACCACAATGGTGATTAAGTTTCAATATATGAATTTGAGGAGAACACAACACTCAGACCATAACAACCTATGTTTGGTGCCCTGGCAGGGATGACTGGAAGTC